TCTCTCTCTCTCTCTCTCTCTCTCTCTCTCTCTCTCTCTCTCTCTCTGTCTGTCTAAATAAAACAAATAACAATTATTAAAACAATAATTACAGGAATTAATTATCTATATATCACACAGCAAAACTTGTTTCAGAAAGCTTTCCGAAAAATAACTTAGAAATTAATATTGAAATGTATAATTCAAATCATTCAGAAATATTTCTGAAACGTTTTATCAAAATAATATATCATTGAAAGCTTTCCGAAAGATAACTCGGACAATAATATTAAAACGTAACATTGCAATTATTCAGAAGTATTTCTGAAACGTTTCATCGAAATCATTTATAACCCTTTTCACTGAAATATTACGAAACATTTCAGAGAAATATGCAACGACGCCGCTAGGCGGCGCACAATAGTAAGACTAACTCGCAAGTAAATTTCAGTTGGGATCTAATATAAGCAGGCCTTCGGCGAAGCAAAATCATGACTATGATCAAGAATATGTTTTACGAAGGACAGGAAATTGTTCCGGATGATCCTATACAGGGTGATCCGAAACAATTTGATATGAGAAAAAGTATCTGAAATATTTCCCGTATATTTTTGAAACATTTCAAAGATATTTTCGAAGCATTTCAGAGATATTTCTGAAGCATTTCAGAGATATTTATTAGGCATTTCAGAGGTATTTCTTAAGCATTTCAGAGATATTTCTTAAGCATTTCAGAAATATTTCTAAAGCATTTCAGAAATATTTCTGAGATTTCAGAAACATTTCTGAAATCTCAGCTTGGCGGACATTTTAGCTTTCTGAAACATATCTGAAACATGTCTAAAATGTTTTTTTGAAAGGTTTCATATTTCATTGACAATTTTTTGAAAGCTTTCTGAAATATTTTGATGCTGTGTGGGCCTATACAGGGTGATCCGAAACAATTTGATATGAGAAAAAATATCTGAAATATTTCCCATATATTTTTGAAACATTTCAGAGATATTTTCGAAGCATTTCAGAGATATTTCTGAAGCATTTCAGAGATATTTTTTAGGCATTTTAAAGGTATTTCTTAAGCATTTCAGAGATATTTCTTAAGCATTTCAGAAATATTTCTGAAGCATTTCAGAATTATTTCAGAAATATTTCTGAGATTTCAGAAACATTTCTGGCAGACATTTTAGCTTTCTGAAACATATCTGAAACATGTCTAAAATGTTTTTTGAAAGGTTTCATATTTTATTGACAGTTTTTTGAAAGCTTTCTAAAATATTTCGGTACTGTGTGGGTTATAAAAACAAAAAATAGTTATAACTGCAAAATACTATGTAATATTAATTATATACTATGTAATATTAATACTATATGTAAGAATAGTTACTATGCTACGTGTATAACTTTACCTGTCCGAAAAATCTCTCTCTTCGTCTTCTTCTTCTTAAGACAATACAATTCCTCTAACAGATTTACTTTCAAAAATTATCTTTCTCACTTCTCACTTTCTAACTCGAGAATAATTTAATTCTTCTTCTTCCAATCCAATTCGGCTATCGATATCTTTAAGAAATAAAGAAAACTCTTTAAAGACTATAATTATATATTTAAAAATAAGATTATAATATTCGACTTACTAAATCAATAAGAAATATACCCACAAACACAGTCGAATTAACCTAACTTATGCCAATAATGAATGGAGTCCAACGAGAGTTACAAAAGATAGTCGAACGATGATAGATTTAATTTTTTCGAATAAAGAAATAAAGGTACAAGTGAATGAGAAACCTAAAATCACGGACCATACATGGCTAAAAGTAGAATT